ATTTTTTGGTCGTTGAATGTAAATGGCGACCAAAACCTTTTTTGGTCGCGAAATGTCACCATTGGCGACCAAACTTTTTGGTCGGGAAAATATCACTTTTCGCGACCAAAGTGTTTTGGCGACAAAATAAATTAGTCGCGGTAATTAAATATTTAGCAATCAAAAATTTAGTTGCGAAATCTAACTTTTGCTGACCAACCACAATTTTGGTCGCGAATTACTTTTGCCGACCCTCAATTGGCGACCAAAGTAGCGACCAAAAAAATTGGTCGCGGATAACTTTTGCCGACCAAAAATTGACTTTTAGCGACCAATTTTTTTGTTGCCAAAAGTGTTAATTCTTGTAGTGTGTCCAGATTGTTGGGAGATGGTCAATGGCAAAGGACAAAATGTTCTTCACGTTGCCATGGATATGGAGGAGAAAGGTGCGATTGACTTTATCAAAGAAAACCCATGGTCGAGCCATCTTAAAAAACAGAAAGACATTGAAGGAAACGCACCTCTTCATCTGTTGTACCTGTATGGTGATGTTACTTTTGCTTCAGTGCATCTGAAAGATTCAACAAAAGAATGGTGCAATAGAGAATATGAATGGGCTTTCAACAATAAAAACTTAACGCCCGATGATATACGATTGTCAGATTATCAGGTAAGGATATGCCAACCTTGCTGCACATGGCATGTTTTTTTATGGCATGCAACATATATATATATATATAGGGAGAGGCTAGATAAAATACTCAACGAATCCTATATATTAAACTGTTTGAATCATCAATATAGGCTCCATGATGGGTCCACAGAGCCTTAACAACACCCTTCAGTCCAATTTGGATGGGAGAGAAGCGATAATATGTAAGGTTTGTTAAGTATATCATTCATGTAAAAAATTATATTAATCAGATATCGATAGTTACTTGATCAGATCAGATTTGAATAAATAATTTATTTTAAAAATCATACTTATTGTTGACACAAATGTGAGTTGATTAAGTGATTATTGATATTCAATCAATGTGATTTTTTGTAAGGATGAAATACTCGACAAACTCTACACATTAAATTATTTGGATTATTGATACAAATTCTATAGTGAACTTACAAAGGCTCAACAATATTCCCCAGTCTGATTTAGATCGGAGAGAAGTTGCGAGCTATATATATATATATATATTATACGGTTGAGAAGCAAACTGTCCACTCTGCTTTGCCTTGTGCCACATTATCCTATGCATACATCGAACGCACTATGCAATATGTTTACAATTCTTTCTTATCAACATTTCCTTCTTAGCCATATTATATATTGGATTTGGGGAGGGTGTTTCCCGACCTAGATCAATTTTTAGATATTTTTTTTTATTCTATTGAGACCTAGGGTGTATGTGCCTTTCTTTTTAGGAAAAATTATTATTTAGTACTAGTTTAATAAAGTTATTACAGATTCACGAAAATATTTATAATTTTCATGGTTTTTTTTTTTGGGTAGAATTTACTAATTATTTGTAATTATTTTTTAAAATTTACACTGAAATTTTGTCTTCTTTTTATATGGTTGTTGAGGCATAGGACAGGGCTAGGCTTGGCTATTTTTTACATGAATAATATCCCATTTTCATGTTTTTCTAAAAAAATTATATTATTATTATTATTAAAAAAGGAAAAAGACTATATTTTTTCCCCCCTCTTTTCAAGGTTTGTCAAAGATTATTAAAAGTTCCAAATTTGCCAAAGAAACAGAAAATAAAAATAAACATAAAACTCTTAGAGTATGTTTGGTAACCATTCCGTTTTCAGTTTTTAGTTTATATTTAAAAAAAATTTAAAAATTGTCATAAAAACTTGTTTGATAATTTTTTTGATTTATAAATGGTTGTCTCAGTTTATAAGGGAAAAAAACATAAACTCAAAAAATGAGTTTACATTTTTAGTTTTCAAAAAAAAATTTCAATTAATTTTTTTCAAATAATTTATTTTCAATTATTTTTTTTCAATTAATATTTTTTAAATTAATTTTTTTTCATTTTTTTTCAAATAATTTTTTTTTCAACTAATTTTTTTCTTCAATTAAATTTTTTTCCCAATTAATTTTTTTTCAACTATTTTTTTAATTAATTTTTTTCATTTTTTTCAATTAATCTTTTTCCAATTAAATTTTTTTTCAATTATTTTTTTAATTTTTTTTTTCAATTGTAATGTGTGTGATCCCATTGTTATAAATAATAAAAATAAATATAAATATTTTAGGCTTGAATAAACATATTTTTTAGTTTATGTTTTTAAATTTTTTTAAACATTTTATTCAAACCAAATGCGTTTGTAATTTATGTTTTTCTAAAAATAAACAAAAGTCAGTTTATAAAATTTTTGTAATCATAAACCAAAAACGTAAACATTACCAAACGCTACCTTAGAATTAAATAAATCACCCTATTTAGTTTTAAGTTTTCAATTGATATTTTTTATTTTTTAATGATTTTTTTTAAAATATTTTAATCAAAAATTTTGAATTTTTAGATCCACTTAATTTTAAAGTAAAATATTTGTACAAAAATATTTAATAAACTCATTGAATCAAATAAAATATGAAAATGTATTGATTTTTTTTTTCTTTATTTTTTGTATTTGGTGATTTTTTTTTAAAAAAATTCATAAATATTATACTTTTAAGTGTATTTTGATTAGGTGTATTTAAAAACTAAAAAATTTGTGTAAAATATTAATACTCATTTTTTAGACTTAATGATGTATAAGTGAGATGATTAACTGATAATTAGAAAATATATGAGAGACAAATAACACATGAGAGTGATTGGTTGATTGATCATTGAATTTGAAATTTGAGTTTAATTTTTGAATTTGAATAACACTATTTTTTAAATTTTTTTCCCCGACTTCTAATACGAATAGCTTTAATTGATTTCCAAATGTTTAAGATTCTTTTATTTTCTAAAAAACTTTTTTTTTTTTCTTCACTTGTGTTTATTTTATAACCTTGCCTTTGACCTGCTTAACCAACTGGACTACTTGCAAGTTTTGAATAACATCTCACAAAACTCACTTTTGTGGATCAACCATATAAACTTTTATTTTCTGTTAAAAAAAAAACCATATAAACTTTTATTTGTTCATTGATTTTTTTGTCAAACAGTATGATCATTAAACAGGGCATTCATACTCTCCGAATGGATAAGATAGGGGGAGAAAAAGCCCCAACACTCTCTACCCTTCCCAACAACTCCTTGCTTAGCAATGAAATGAGCCATGCCATTTAATAATACCATTGCACAAAACAAAATACACAATATACAAAAGATTGTTCATAATTCTAATATCGGATCAACTTAATTTTTTAAATAGATAATCTATTTGATAGAACTTATAAATTAAACAATTTAAATTACTAAAATAGATATCGAGACTAGTGTACCCACATCTATAAAAACCAGACCATCCAATTCAAAACTTCGACCAGAGACAAACCAATTTTTGGAGTGAAACCAGTTTCCACTACAAGGACCCATCGAAGTCCTTCACGAGCAGCAATGACTCTGCCATTAAAGCATTATGCACCCAAGGAACTTTAGCCAATGAAGTTCCAAGCTGCCAAGAAAGAAATTGGTTTTTTTGAATTTTTGCAGTTTGAGTTATTTCAGTTCAGTATTTTTTTAAAAAACTTATATTAAAGTTCAAATATATATATATATATATATATTTGAACTTTAATATAAGTTTTTTAAAAAAATACTGAACTGAAATAACTCAAACTGCAAAAATTCAAAAAAACCAATTTCTTTCTTGGCAGCTTGGAACTTCATTGGCTAAAGTTCCTTGGGTGCATAATGCTCTTAACAGAGTCATTGCTGCTCGTGAAGGACTTCGATGGGTCCTTGTAGTGGAAACTGGTTTCACCTCAAAAATTGGTTTGTCTCTGGTCGAAGTTTTGAATTAGATGGTCTAGTTTTTATGGATGTGGGTACACTAGTCTCGATATCTGTTTTAGTAATTTAAATTGTTTAATTTGTAAGTTCTATCAAATAGATTATCTATTTAGAAAATTAAGTTGATCCAATATTAGAATTATGAACAATCTTTTGTATATTGTGTATTTTGTCTTGTGCAAAGGTATTATTAAATGGCATGGCTCATTTCATTGCTAAGAAAAGAGTTGTTGGGAGTGTTGGGACTTTTTCTCCCCCTATCTTATCCATTCGGAGAGTATGAATGCCCTGTTTAATGTATGATCATACTGTTTGACAAAAAAAATCAATGAATAAATAATAGTTTATATGGTTTTTTTTTTAATAGAAAATAAAAGTTTATATGGTTGATCCACAAAAGTGAGTTTTGTGAGATGTTATTCAAAACTTGCAAGTAGTCCAGTTGGTTAAGCAGGTCAAAGGCAAGGTTATAAAATAAACACAAGTAAAGATAAAAAAGTTTTTTAGAAAATAAAAGAATCTTAAACATTTGGAAATCAATCAAAGCTACTCGTATTAGAAGTCATGGAAAAAAAAAATTAGTGTTATTCAAATTCAAAAATTAAACTCATTTTTCAAATTCAATAATCAATCAACCAATCACTCTTATGTGTTATTTGTCTCTCATATATTTTTAATTATCAACTAATCATCTCACTTATACATCATTAAGTCTAAAAAATGAGTATAAAAATTGAGTTTGTATGTTATTTTCCAAAGCTAAAATGTGTCATCACTATGTAGGGTCATGTAAAATTGCAAAAAATCATCACTATGTTTGTTCCAGAAAATAAATTGAGTCCACTTTTTAGAAAATTGTTATCTTTTATTTTTCATGTTTTTTTATTTTAAGTCAATTTTTTATTATTTTACGCTAATTTTTTTTTTAAATACACCTAATGTAAATACGTTTAAAATGTATAATATTTGTGGAAAAAAAAACTTTAAAAATTCATCAAATACAAAAAGAATAATCCTTCGTAGCTCAAATCTTTCTTCCCCGAATCCCCCGTTTTGGGTAGTTTCTTTTTTTTTTTTTGCAGTCTGAAAGTCTGAAATAGAGGGAGAGAAAGAGAAAGAGGGAGAGAAGAGAGAAGAAGAGAGGAGAAGAGAAAGAGGAGGGGAAGAGGAAATGGAGGGGAAGAGGGAATGGAGAGAGAGAGAGCCCCTCCGCTTTCGCCAATCGATCGCAGCCTCCGCCGATCGATCGCAGATCGCCTGGCCGATCGTTGTAGCTCGTCGGCCGATCGTCGCAGCTCGTCGTCGATCGTCGCAGCCCCACCTCCGCCTCTGCCTCTTTCTTCTTCTTCTCTTCTTCTTTTTTTCTTTCTTCTTTTTTTCTGATTGAAAAAAAAAAAAAAATTTCAAAACAACAAAATTTTGAACACAATCATATAGACAAACTCTGACAGCTTGAAATTTCATGTCATTCTTATTAATTAATACATTAGGAATATTCAACAAAAATTAGATGTATAAAAAAAATGATTCACATATGAAAAAATTATATTGTAAACACATTTGAAATGGTGTGGAGGACTGTGGTAAGTGTTGTGATAAAAAATAAAATTATCATATAAAGATGCAAAAAAAAAAAATCCATTTACATGTGTCACACTTATCAAATTTTCACTAAAGATGGTGTTTAAATGTTGGTTGGGGCCAGAGAGATAATGCATGCAATGTGGAAGCCACAAAAGTTCAAGGCAATATATTTGTTGGCTACCCTGTATGTGCTCACACTGACGCTACCGTCCGCAGCAGCAGTCTATTGGGCATTTGGAGACATGCTTCTCAATCACTCCAATGCCTTTGCTCTCCTCCCTAGAACTCCCTTCAGAGACATGGCTGTCATTCTCATGCTCATCCATCAGGCATGCTACTCTCTTTTCCCACTATATACCTATTATTAAATACTATTCTTACATTATTTTTATACAGAATTTCTCATCAGAATGATCGAATTATATTTTTATAATTAAATAATTATTTTAAGAGTCATATTATTTTAAAATGATAAATTTCAATACAATTATTCATTTTGTATACAAATTTTGTAAATATATTTTTTATCATATAACATCACCTTTTATATTATTTATACTATATATAAAGTAAAATATGGAAATAGTGCAAATGGCCTGGATTTTTTATTCTGAAATGCCTATGACAATTTGAAAACTGTCACTATGAAAATTTTATTTAGATCTTTAAAATTTTAACTATTCATCTTCTTTTTTTCTCAATCATATGTATTTACACATGCATCATGTGTGTACTATCCACAAATATTATATAAAGCATAGATGGTTATTCTTATGAATCTTTTTTGTCACAACTTTCTAATTCCTAAATTCAACTTTAATTGATTTTTTTTTTTGGGTACATGAAATTCAATTTTTTTTTGTTTTTGTTTTTGGCATGCTTTGTGCAGTTTATTACATTTGGGTTTGCATGCACGCCCTTATATTTTGTGTGGGAGAAGGCAATAGGAATGCACGATTGCAAGAGCATGTGTAAGCGTGCGGCAGCGAGATTGCCTGTGGTCATCCCCATATGGTTCTTAGCTATCATCTTCCCGTTCTTTGGTCCCATCAACTCCACCGTTGGATCACTTCTCGTTAGCTTCACAGTTTACATCATCCCCGCTCTCGCCCACATGATCATCTTCAAATCAGCAGCAGCCCGTGAGGTAACATACTAATATGCTGCACCTGCACACACCATATCCTAGTCTTCGTAATTTTGCAAAATTTAAGATTAATTACGCTTGAAATCATTCTATTTTATCAAAATTTCAATTTTACCCCTCCACTCTTATTTTTTTACTGTCAATTCTTAAATTTTTAATCAAATTTCAATGTCACCATTTCATTTAATTGATGACAATGAGATTGGCAGAAATTGACATACGTCTCACATGATATTTTATAAAAAAAGGGTACAATAAAAAATAAGGAAACCAAAATTAGTTTTGGTAAAATTATAAAGATTAAAATAAAATTTTGATAAGAATATAGAGTTGCTAATAAGGTGAAAAAAAAAAGCAATGATTTTTAGAACAGCTGTCTTGAGCTGTTTGGCCTCCCTCTCCATACACGTGTATACTCGGTAGTGGATCCACTCTTGCAAAAGCGTTGTCTTGTAAAGCTTTAAGACAATATAAGAAGAAAGCTCTCTCTCCTAAGGAAAAAAAGAGAGGACTTGGTTTAGAGAACTTGAGGTTATTTTTCGCAGAGCAGAAACAGCCATTGTCACGGTTTGAGTTCCTAGGGTAGAGTTAGATACACACTCTATCCTTTTTCCCCTCTCATTTTTGTTCACTAGGTGCTGTTGTGTCTTTACTATTGCACACAACACCTAGTGCTTCACCTTCCCTCTGTAGGAATTCTCTGTCTCTCTATCTAAGACGTTTGTTTTGAAGTTTCTTGGTCGTACTGGAATTCAAGCTCCAAGGAGGCCTATGGAGCACCATTTGTGGAAAGGGTCTTCAAGGGGTAATCTAGTCCATTTTTCCCCCCATTTTGCATGATTTATACCTATATACTAGATCTAGATTTAACATTTGTAGTTGCTTGATATAGCATATTTATACACTTAGACACTTCTGTTTTAAGCCCTCTTATTGTTTAGCGAGAGGTTGTTTCATAGTTTGTTTAGAGGTTGTTGATCACAGCGGTTAATTGGCCGTTATTAATCGTATGGCTTCGGCCGCTTTCGCACACACATTGGCACGTCTATTATATTGGAGCCATTCTTTGTTGTATATTTGAGCGCTCCGGTGGACACTATTTAATTGCTGAAGAGGCACAATTCTCACCATCTGAAATCTTGAGGGATTTGCGTGGTAGATAAGTAAGATTGACTTGATATGACCAAACCGAATGAGAGGGCCATCCTCGCGCATAAAAATCCTTGTAGTTTCCTTGAAAAATGTGGACATATATTTTGGAGCACTCAATAAAGTGAAGCCTTATGGACATACTTGGATGTGTGTTGGGAGCGAAATATTTTTTTTTTCTACTGGAGATTGTCTTTCATGGAGAGGCCATAAACATAATCCATTGATATATATCCCATGCAGTTTAATAGTTGAGTTTATGCGAAAGCCAGTCTACTACGCTCTAGCGATAGTTGCCATGTAATGCCTTGTTTTATGCCTTTAACATGTCCTTAGGTTTTAGCCTTTTGTTGGAGCATGTTTTAGGCTTGAGGCCTCAATATCATGTATGTGAAGGATTTTGTGCAATGTATTATTGACAAATAGGTTAGAATCTGTCATAAGTATTATGTAAATGAATATTGGCTATTGGCTTCGAGCTATAGCGCTACCTTTGTAACATTTTTTAGTGTCTTTGGCGGTCCTTGAGTCACGTTGCATTGTGTAGCATGGCCATCTTGCATTGGTTTTGTGTGATTTTGGGATCAATTCTACATGCCATTTCTATCGTCCCATGTTTCCATGCTTCATGAATTTGATTTGCACACTTGCAGTTGTCGAATTATTCTGAATGCCTCCACAAGCCTTGATGCTTAAGAATCCTCCAAAAATCGCTCACATGGTTTTGGTGATTTATCAAGTTAACGGCATAACACTATTTGTATTATCTTGAGATACAACAAGTTTAGATGTACACTCTAATATCTAAAGTAGGATTCTGACACTTAGCGTGTGTTTAGAACCATTGCTAAAACTCTGATTATTTGTCCTGTCTCTTTCCAATGCCATGTTTGGTCATGTTTTAAGTGGGGACGTTATCCATGCCTCGCGTGTGATATTGAACAAATAATAAACGAGCTTGGACTAATATGAAATAAAAGCTTGAGTGATGCTTTGTTGTTGCTTTATGGATTTGGCATACCTTATAATATAAGTTAGCTATTATACGGGAATAAGCATCTTAATAATGTCTAATGCATATGTTCAAATTGTATGAGTTCATCCCTTTTCGAAGTGTGCTATGAATGATAGGCTATGATAGTGTAGTGTCTTTATAATGATGTGGTAGCGCAGGAATAGTTGGTCTATATGATGGTGGTCGCCTAGATATTGTTGCAATTATTAGCGCGGGCACTTTAATTAGACTCACATAAATCTTCATCTTCATCTTTCTATACGCGAGAAAAAGCTGTGATTGCGAGGCCTAGAAAAATAATAAATAAAATCTACAAGACACAGGCCTGTAAATTTGGACACTTAGGAATCCATTTTGAGAGGACCACAGTCCATGTCCTCTTCTAAAATTTCAATGCCTATATTTGCGAGAGAGCGCATAAATTATCGCCGCTGCATAGAAATTGAGCAATAAAGAGTATGCGAGGCTCTATGCCAGTTTGATATCCTATCTTGAGTATTCTCCTAGGTATTGCGGAGAATTAGCATCCATTGCACTGCATGCATTCCTTGTCTTGACTTGGGTGATAGGGATTGGGAGAGTTTGTTTTGTATTGGTTTGCATACATTTGAAATCAAAGTTGCATAACTTGGTTCTTTGGGCCATCATGCATGGAAATGCGTGATTGGTGGGCGAGAAGTCGAGGTACATCCCCGTTTTGAGTCGCAAACATGATAAGGGACATGATTATTTGCATACCATGCCTTGGATTGTTGTTGCCATGCTCTTGCCTTGCCCTCTGTTGCTGTCAGTTGCAGTCGTTCTGCAGATGAGCGTACTCTGCCGACCGGCAGTTCGTAAGGGCCGGCCGGACAACATAGTTTCTTGCCAACAGCTTCAATTTTGTGCCGATGGCATATCACACTGCCGGTGGCAATTTTATTCAGTCGGTGATGAATCCTCTCTGTCCAAGGAGCAGTCTGGGGTTTTGAACAGCCTCCAGAGGAAGTGAAGGAAGGAAAACTGAGGCAGCTTGCGCATGGCGGCGCGCTTCTCGGGCATTTTACTGTTTTCTTAGTCCTATTTAATTTTCGTTAATTAAATTCAGGCATTTGTAATATTAATTTAAGCTTGCGTAGTTATTAATTTGTAATATTTATTCACGGGTCCCTCCGGTGAGGGCAAATCTGTATCATCAAGTGTGTGTGGTGGTGTGGTATGTCTCCAAACCTCACTCTTTCTTCCCTTTTATTTACTGCTGTACGATGTGTAGATTAGGGCAAGTTTTAATTTAGCATAACCTTATGCTACGCATGTGTGCAATCCACTGCATTGTATATAACATGCATTAAGCCGGTACATCACGCTAACTGCATTCGTACTTCAAATCCTAAAACTTGAATTGTGAAGTTGTGGCATTTCACATGCCATGTTTAGGAAAGCCCGAGCCTCTATTCTAAGCAACACTTTGTATGCCGATGGCATTAGGGCACTTAACATGGACTTGGATCAGCATGTTTGCTAACAAGTTCTTTGTTTTTGGCACGGAGTACGATTAAAGTATTCGCTTTAAGCATATCGCGATGAGTGTGAATGTTGCCATGACAAGCATGCCTTAACAATGGTGGCTAGATGCTTATGTGTAAACTGTTTTGAATGCCTGTGGTGAAAGGTGGATGTTTGAGTTGAAAAACTCCGGTTGAAATCCGTATTTTGCCTACTTCGAGTAAGCTAAATTCAAAGCATTTTCAAAACGCGAACGGATAATGCATGTTTATTTCCAAAATTAGGCAATCTAGTCTATACTTTGTTGTGCGCGCATAAACATAGTTATATTTCTAGGCGAATAGGAATAAGAACACATAGCGTTTTCCAAAATCGGATAATCATGGTTAGTAGAGGGCCGGTCTTCGGACCGGGCGAAAAGGGGGCTGCTCATAGCTGCCCTTCCCCGATCGTACCCAAGCTCCCGAGACGAGAACAGACTCCGGTGAATTGACGGACATGTGGCCATTCGGCACGAGTCAGGGTTTCCTAATTCCCATTTTAAAAAAAATATTTAGGTGGCGAACTCTGTATCTCGGCAAAAGCAGTCCATGTTTTGGCTACTACTTTTTCAAAATTTTGGTTTCTCAAAACGATTTGCCAATAAAATAACGAAAAAAATTTGGACTCTTTGGTTCAGATTAGAACCGTGACATCAAATTCGAGTCCGAACTTAGCCGAGGGTCCCCACGCGGGCGCGTCTACACCAATCTGGATCAAGCTAGGGTCCTTCT